CCACAGATGGGAATAGAGCACACACCCCCATTTCCCACCTAAGACACTGCTGCATAGCCATCAACCCTCTGTGCCTCAGTTTCCCCACCTGGGCAGTGAAGCTTTGGGGACTGTGTGGTTCTCAAGGCCTGAGCAGAGCAATCACTGTTTCAATGTGGGAATGGCCCCAGAGCAGCCTGGAGCTCCAGGCTCCCCCTGATGCCCTCCCTGTTGGTTACAGAGAACAGGTGGCTTGTTTGGCCAGGTGGACAGCTTCATGGAGCCCAGCAGCCCCCTGCAGCCCCAGGTGGCCAGCCAGAGGCCCCTGCAGTTCACCGAGGTGGGCACTGAGGACCTCGACTCTCCTGTGTTCCTGGATGACTTCCCCCAGGAAGCCAACACCAACATCAACAACGCCAACAGCAGCAGCTGGCTGCAGGGGTAAGGGGCTCAGCCTCGGTGTGCAGGTGAGGAGGGCAGTGCTGGCCCTGCCACTGCCTGCCCTGGGGCTGTCCTGGCAGCTGGCTGTACCCTGCCTGGCCAGGGCTCCCATCCCACCGTCCTTCATCTCGGTGCCATGAGCATGGAGGTGGCAGCAGGGCTCCAGGGGTTGCAGGAATCTCCCCTGCCCCTCACCTGCCAATCTCTGAGAGCCAAGGGCCAGGCTGGGACCTGGGCACGGGTAGAAGGGACAAAACTGACCAATGGGATGTAGTTAGTCCTGCTTTCTGGGGCCTCCACTCTGTTCATCCATCCCAATTGTCCCTATGGGTCTGTCCCCCCAGGCTGGGGAAGGTGGGAGGGCTGCCTTTCAGGCTGAGCTGGCTCAGAGTGTGCCCCCAGCCAGGCTGACCCTCCTGCCTGCCTTGCCAGGGTGCATTATGAGGATGAGATGCTGAGGAGGATGCTGCCAGCAGCACGCAGGCGCCTGGCCTGGGGTGAGTCTGGGCTTTGTTCTTCTTCTGGGGCACTGGGGCCAGCCCAGGGCCAGGGCAGGGGGAAGGGGCTGGTGGTGCTGGTGGAAGCAGGAGGTGCAGGCCCCAGTAGGTTTGCTGAGAGCACTGAGCACAGCAGGATCTCTCTGGAGAGCTCCAGGAGACCCTTCTACTTCCTTCCACCTTTTGAGGTGATGAAACATGGAGACAGTGCCTCAGCTTGAGGAGCACTGGCCATCCCCAGGCAGAAGGACCACAAGACCATGCTTGTTTCCTTAAACAGGGACTTTGGGTGCTGCTGAACTCTTAAACCCTTTGTTTTCCCCAGTCTAGTGAGCCTGATCCCATCTCTGTCTGGCAGTGGTGTCCTTGCTCTTGTACCCATCTGATGGATGTTGAGATGCCAGAGGAGGGCAGAGGGCAACAGGGCTGGAGAGGGGCTGGGAACACAAACCCTGNAGAAGACATTCAGTGTCAACATTGCAGTGTTGCCTCAAACAGGAGGAAGTGCACATTAGGTTTGGAAAGAAGGATAGAATGATAGAGCATGATGAAAATTTTCCACTGTGCATGAAAGCAAGTCACATGCCACCTTTTAATGGAAATCTAATGATAAGCTAAAAGAGAGCTAAAAAGAATGCTTCATTCTTCCAGCAGCTGAGGACTGGGAGAGAAGATGTTGAGATTCAGGAAAATCTCAACAGGGTAAAAGTGTGAAATAGATTATAGAGAGTAGTGTAGGTGTATCATTTGGAAATTTAGGGCTTTGGGATTTTAGTATGTTGTGGATGGAAGCAAGATGGAGGGCACACGGTGTTGTCCTGGCTTGTTTCTTCATGCTTTTTCTGCCTTCTTCTCCCTGGGTTTGGGTGGCATTTTGTAATTGGGCAGAAAAGTGCCACCAGTGCCACCCCAAACAGCTCAGGAGTGGGGCTGGTCCAGCTCCCATCATTTTAATTTAGCTTGGGAGAGGAGCTGTTGCCCTGCACAGAGCTGAGGTGGTTCAGCTCCTGAAGATCAGGACTTTCCTGTGCTCATCTCCTGCTTCAAAGTGTGGCAGGGATGGGCTGGCTCTGCCCAGAGCCCTCATTGCAGGGACTCCCAGGCCCCTGAATTAATCTGTGCTAGGGAGGAGCTGCTTTCCTTCAGCAGTTTGCTGAGCTTTGCTGTGTGTCCCACCAGCTTGTTATGCAAATAAAACAGGCAGGACTCCATTTTCTTTATGGTGGAAAAAAGCTCTTTCTTTATTCACATAACTGGTTTTTAGACAGTTTTACAGACCTCGTGTGGGACTCCCATTGGTCAGGAGCTTTCTTGCCAATTACTTTTATTGGTTAGTAATAAATTGTTACCCTGTATTAATAGGTCACTCAAACCCCCAGTGTGTACATGCAGGGCAAGTTGTTTGTGAGAGATAGTTCTCATTTTTCTATGTAACAGCATAAAAACAGTTTATAGAGATGCAAGCTGTTTTTTACTCAGGAATAGATTGTTATGTTAATGAACTGCTCACACCAGAATTGCTCTCACATGGGAACTTGCAAAGGGCTAGCCTAACAAGGCCAGCCACTGATTTTAGGAGAGCAAGCTTGATTTTATGAAGCTTTTCTTTACGATTTTTGCCTTACTGCAACCCTTGTTTGTGTGCCTGTGCTGTGGCAGAGCCAAGGCAGGCTCTGGTGGGCTCCTGGGATCAGTTCTTGCAGCAGTGCCATGGTGCTTCCCTCGGCCTGGGGTGGGAACCTGGCAGCCTGGGAGGAGCACAGCAGACCTTGGAGGTAAACTGGGGTTTCAGGAATGGTGAATCCTGTGGGAGCACCAAAGAGGAGGTCAAAATCTGTGAAGTGTTCTGGCTGAAATCAAAGCCTTCCTAAGCTCACCTTTGTAGGGTGGGAGACAGAGGAGCTGTCACACCCTCCAGACTGGCCAGGTGTTCACAGGCTTTGTCTTCACTCCTGTTCACACCCCTGGGAATGAACTGCTCTGTCCTGCTGGCTTTCCTTGTAGGAGTGTGCTCTTTGGTGACGGAGAGACAAAATTATTCTTTGTTTTTTTAAAGACGTTTAGAAGTTTTTTCTTTGATTAAGTTAAAAGCCATTTCACAGGACTTAGGGGACTTAAACTTAAGGATAGCTAGTTGGACAGAAGCAAAAAAGTCTTGCTTGGGCAATTTAGTAGAAAAAGAAGTGAATAAAGAAACTAACTGCTTTTGTAAAGTGTTTTACTAGGAATAAGACTGTTTAGCTTTTGGCTTGGTTTCTTTTGTTTGTTATTTTGCTTTTTATTAAGCTTTTTTTTTGTTTTTAACACTGCAACAGAAGCTATTTTGTTGATTTTTATGCTTCCAAGGGTAGCTGAGTTATTTTGGGTGTGTTATAGGCCTCCGAGAGCTTAGACCTGGCTCGAGGACGCTATTATAATATTTCCTCACAGGTAATTTTGAACAGGCCAATGAGGAGCTCAGAGCTATCATCAAAAAAATCTGGAAGCGAACCAGTATGAAGCTTTTGGACCAAGTCATCCCACCCATTGGAGGTATGTCCCCAGGTGTCCCTTCCAGAGGGACACAGCAGCTCCTGCTCAGGGTCCCACTGCTGCAGCCATGGGATCCTGGGACAGGCAGAACCTTCATGTTGGGTTCACCATCACGTTGGTTTCCTCCCTCCAGATGATGAGGTGACAGTGGGCAAATTCTATGCCACTTTCCTGATCCAAGAGCACTTCAGAAAGTTCATGAAGCGCCAGGAGGAGTATTATGGGTACAGGCCCAAGAAGAACCCTGTGGAGATCCAGGTTGGTGTGTGGGTGGTTTATTATGGGTACAGGCCCAAGAAGAACCCTGTGGAGATCCAGGTTGGTGTGTGGGTGGTTTATTATGGGTACAGGCCCAAGAAGAACCCTGTGGAGATCCAGGTTGGTGTGTGGGTGGTTTATTATGGGTACAGGCCCAAGAAGAACCCCGTGGAGATCCAGGTTGGTGTGTGGGTGGTGTATTATGGGTACAGGCCCAAGAAGAACCCTGTGGAGATCCAGGTTGGTGTGTGGGTGATGCTGGAGGGGGGGTTCTCCCTGGAGGAGGCTTCCCCCAGCCTGGGGGACTCAGAGAGCTGCAGGGAGCCTGAGCCTCGTGTCTGGAGGTGTGGTGGCCCAAGTGAACCAGCATTGAGCTGGCCATGAGTCCCCAGCACTGAGAGGACCCCCGTGTGACCTTGGTGTGCAGGCTGCAGGTGACTCAAAGCAGAGGAGGGCTTTTACTCTCTGCTCCACTCACTCCAGTGTAGAGAGGGCTTTGCAGGACCTGGTGCCTCACCAAGGGGTTTTAACACCTGGAAACTCCCACCCCAGACCATTGTCTGTGCCAATGCTGCTCATACCAGCCTGTTGTCATTGTATCACAAAGGTTCTATTGTCATTATGTTGCAAAGGTTCCATATTGCTAGAGTTTTATACCTTCTTGGTGTTTCTCATGGTCATCTGCTCTAGCACTGACTCTTCATTCTTCTCACAGCAGCCAACTGACTCCAGTTCCCCTCAACCAACCAATCCACTCTTTTATAGCACTCTTCTTATTATCAGCTACAGCTATGGCCTGTTAAAATCAATAAAATTAATATAAATTAATATAAAATGGATAATTAACCCAGCTGGAACTCTTTAGGGGATAAGATCACTTTCTGTACTACCTTTATTTACTTTTATTCAATCCCCCTACACCAGCCCTCACCCACCTGCTCTGCTCCAGTCCCAGGGCCTTGTCCCTGCTCTCCCCTCAGCTCCATGTTCCTGGTGTTCTCCCAGCCTCACAGAGCACCAGGGGAGGGGGGTACACGTGGCTGACCTTGAGAGGGACCCCTGCAGTCAGAGGTGCCTGCACAGCAGGCCCAGGGGTGCTGGCGGAGGGTTTCTGTGCCTGGCCACAAGGCTGGCATGTCCCTGGGCTCTCCTGACTTTGTAGGGAGGAAATCACCTGGGGAGATAAAAGAGCAGGACCCAAAGGTGCAAAGCAAGGAAATAGCTCCAGATCAGGGACAGAGGCCCAGCCTGCCCTTGGCTGTCACCTCCATCAGGGCATTCCCTTTCCCAGAGCCTGTGGGACAGCAGCAGCTCAGGAGCAGTGGCACCAAGCCCAGCCAGCTGCAGGCTGTGACCTGTGGCCTGTCCTCAGCAGGACACCTGGCAGGGGCAGAGTGCCTCACCATGCTCCCCTCTCCAAAGAGCAAGGGGAGGGTGCTGGGCTTACCCAGCCCTGCCTTCCTATTCTCCCCAGGCTGGGCTGAGGAGCATTGAGGAAGAAGCTGCTCCTGAAATCCATCGGGCCATTTCTGGGGACTTGACTGCAGAGGAGGAGCTGGAGAGAGCCATGGTGGAGGCTGCCCTGGAAGAGGGGATTTACAGGGTGAGTTCAGAATGCACAGCACAGTTTGGTGTCCCACCAGCCCTGATTTCAGAGTGCTGGTGGCTCAGCTTGGCTGCCAGCTCTGGGGGACATTCTGCAGGACATGCTGCTCATTCTCACAAGGATGAGCAGCACTTCTGTCCTTTCTGTGAGCATCAGGACATCCTGGTGGTGGCATCTTGGGCAAGCTGCTCTCTGCCTCAGTTTCCCCTCTGTGAAAGGAGCCAGCCCATGTGCCTGACAGGGCTGTGCTGGATATTTACCTGCTGGTTTGGAGGTTCCCACTCACACCTTCTGCCAGGCTCAGGTGGGACACCTCTGGTGTTACAGGAACTGATTCACATCCCATCCCTGGGAGCCTCAGAGACAGCCTGGGCAGCTGTGGGGTTGCACAGTTCCTTCTATGTCCCCAGGTGCCACCACCTCAGGCTGTCCCGCAGAGGTGACAGGATTTGTCATGGCCTGGCTTATCCCAGTGCTGCTTGCCTTGGTTTGAATAGACAGGTGTCTGCTAAGGAGCACAGGAGCCTCCCTTGAAATGGAAAATGTAAACTCCCTCCCCCAGAATTATAATTTTGAAACTAAGGGGCTCTCAGGCAAAAATATGGGAATAGAAATAACAGTTCTTTACTAGGAAAATTAATTAAAAATACAAATAAAATAGTACAAAACAAAACCAAAAACCACTGCCAGAGTCAGAGCATGCCCTGCCCCCTGTGTGTCAGGGTGGTGTCCCAGCCCCATCCCATGGGGGCTCAGCCCTCCTGCAGTGCCAGCTGTGGCTCTGCTGCAGCAGGGATCCTGCACAAGGGGGGAGTTTTCCTCTGCAGCTCCAGGGCTGCTGCAGATGGGCCTGGGCTCCCTCTGGC